ATGGATTGGTGGACTGGTGGACTAATGGTTTGGTGGACTGGTGGACTGGTGGACTGGTAGATTGGTGGATTGGTGGACTGGTGGACTGGTAGATTGGTGACTTGGTGGATTGATGGATTGGTGGACTGGTTGATTGGTGGCTTGGTGGAATGGTGGACTGGTGGACTGGTGGACTGGTGGACTGGTGGACTGGTGGACTGGTAGATTGGTGGCTTGGTGGACTGGTGGACTGGTAGATTGGTAGATTAGTGGACTGCTGGACTGCTGGACTGCTGGACTGGTGGGCTGGTGGACTGGTGAACTGGTGAACTGGTAGACTGGTAGACTGGTAGACTGGTGGACTGGTGCAATGTTGAACTGGTGGGTTGGTGGCTTGTTGGCTAGATGGCGAAATGGCTTGATGTCTTGATGGCTTGATGGCTTGATGTCTTGATGGCTTGATGTCTTGATGGCTTGATGGCTTGATGTCTTGATGTCTTGATGGCTTGATGGCTTGATGGCTTGATGGCTTGATGGCTTGATGGCTGGATGGCTTGATGTCTTGATGGCTTGATGGCTTGATGGCTTGATGGCTTGATGGCTGGATGGCTGGATGGCTGGATGGCTGGATGGCTGGATGGCTGGATGGCTGGATGGCTGGATGGCTTGATGGCTTGGGGCTTGATGGCTTGATGGCTTGATGGCTTGATGGCTTGATGGCTTGATGGCTTGATGGCTTGGGGGCTTGATTTGTTGATGGCTTAATGGGTTGATTGCTTGTTAGCTTGATAGCTTCTTGGCTTGATGCTTTAATGGCTTGATGACTTGATGGCTTGATGACTTGATGGCTCAGTTGACTGGTGGTCTGGTGGACTGTCGGATTGTGGTCTGGTGGACCGCTGGACTGGTGGACTTGTTAACTGGTGGACTTGTAAGCGGTTGTCTGGCTTGTTGTCAGACGGATTGACGGGTTGAGTGGTTGACTTGTGTACTGGTGGACTGGTGGACTTGTAGGCAGTTTTCTAACTTGTAGTCAGACGGATTGACTGGTTGAGTGGTTGACTTGTGTACTGGTGAACTGGCGGTCTCGTGGGCCTGGTAGTTTGGGGGCTTGGTTGGTTGACTGATGGCTTGATCGATTGTTTAATCGATCAGGGGCTATTCCCGGTTACGGTAGGGTTAAGTTAAATTTAAGTCATTGCTATTCTATAAGGGAAGTTTTAATTATTATATCTTTAACAAAACATCTTCTAATGCATTGTAATCAACATGGTTTAGATCAATGGGTCTTCTGGGGATACTGAAGAGAACGAACTCTATGCTGGAAGCAGGACACTGATGACGACAAATTCTAGCGAGGTAAAACAGAGTCGGTTAACTTTTTTTCGATTTTTTCGTAAATCCTTTCATGATTTCTGGGAGAATGCTGCAGATGAGGCCTCATACCCAAAACGGAACCGGAAAATATCTGGTCATAATCATTGGTATTTTAGATAACCGAAGCAAAGTGGAGCTTTGGCGAGGACATTTAATGGTTCCCGTTAAAACTAACGTTCGGACCATTTTACTTAGACCGGGGGTGAAAATGAAGTTAACATGGTGACGTTAGAAGACAGCGACGGGCTCTCCTCTGCTCACAACGAGACAGACGAAACAGGTCTAGACGAATGTGCCATACCTTTGGTACCTTTGTCATCATCATCGGGACAGGAAGGAGATACTCCAACTGAGAAAAAAAGCGGCGGCGAGTGCAGTGAAGATTGCGAGTTATTTCATCCGGCTGATTTACTATCATTCGCCTGGCAGATAGCGCGAGGCATGGTAAGCAAAATATGTGTAAACTCATTTATATCCAATACTTAAAAAGCCTCCAAAGTCACTCGAGGACGTCAGATTTAGATTAAATGGGGACCAACAGTATCAAGTTAAGCAAACAGATGGAATTTCCTAAAAAAAAAAGCTCCTTTCATGACATACAGATTGCTCTATTACTATCATTTTTTTCCCTGTCATTTAGAATTATCTTTCTGAGAAGGGACTTGTTCATAGAGACCTCGCTGCAAGAAATGTTCTCGTTGGACACGGGAAATTGCTCAAGATTGCCGACTTCGGCTTGATGCGAGAAGTTTATCATGAGGTGTATGAAGTACAGAAGCAGAAGAAACTACCATTCAAATGGATGGCGCCTGAGTCACTTTATAAACAGATCTTCACCACTAAAAGTGACGTGTAAGTGGCTCCTTGGATTAAAAATCTAGCATTTATGTGGTAGGCATACAGTAATACGGTCATATCGTGGAATTAATTCGCAATAAATGTCATAAATCAGAGCGGATATTTTTACTTTTGTTTTCAGTTGGTCTTATGGAGTAGTCATGTGGGAAATTGCAACTGTTGGTAATTATTACTACAATACTTTTAAAACTGTCATAACAGTCGAACTTCGTTGCAAACAACTCTCCCAAGAAAAGTGTTTAAGTTTTTGATATTCATTTACATTATAAGTAAACTACAGTTAGCACTGCTTAGTGTTGTGCAATTACAGTTATATTTTTATGGTATGTACCGATAACTTCGAGGAGCAAGGCAGATGACATATCGTTTTTATTTTTTTACAGGTGGCACACCTTATCCGCTGTTAGGTAACGCAGAGCTCATGAGGCGTCTGAAGACTGGTTACCGAATGGAGAAGCCTGATTTGTGCTCTGATAATTTGTAAGTTGTTTCGCTTTTCAATCTGTGAGGAGGGAGAGCTGCCTAATTATATTGCTCCAAAAACGAAACACTCGATGTATATAACCAGCGAGACCAGTGGAGAGCATGACCGACGAAGACTGACCAAGTATAGCACGGATTACTTCGACAGTAATATCCCGACCATCTCGAGCCCTGCTCATGTTTGATTTTTTAAGCTCTTTATATCCATTTTTGAATCAGGTTTGGAGGCCCTTGGTTTCTTGCCGTTCGTAAATCATCATGATATAATTCAAAATTCAACCATTTCGCGCTTACCTCGAAGAAAACATTTTCAGTGGTAGCTTCCATTTGGAAGTACACAGTGAGAGATCAAATCAGAGTTTTGGATTTGCGATAGAACATGGAGTGTCGAATGATATTCAGTGCAGTGCCACTACATAGCAGAAATGTAATTCCTACGTGTAGAGGGCTTGTCACTTGAGAGTCAAAGATAATTGGTTTTATATTACTCTGCTACAGGATTGTTTAAAAATCTCGTGTCACTTTTCCAACCACTGAGAAACAAAACCAAAACTAATCGTGAGTCACTCGCACACGTTTTCCGGCGTTTCGCGCGAGCTCACGTGAAATGCATTTCCTTAGAGTGTTAGTTGGCTCATTGCATTTCTGTACTTTTTGCGATTGGGTAGAGCGATCACTTTTCCAACAGTCAATTGAAAACCGCTCTAATTCTCTTGAAAATCTTTATAGTTATCGGTGATGCAGGTAAACCTTGAATCCTTATTGGTTTATTTCCACTTTGATCTCAGCTACTCGTTGATGCTGGATTGTTGGAAACAAGATCAAGATGAACGGCCATCTTTCCAGGAGCTTTTTGGACGGCTGGAGCAACTGATGTTTCAAGAAGTCGAGTACTTTGATTTTAACAAGATGGACCAATCTAAAGATTATTATCAAGTAGAAGAGCCAAAATTTCAGGAAGATGACAAAAATTGAAATGGCCGCTTCTTAAGGAACTTATCTTAACTGATAACCAGAGGTTGCTTTTCAAACTAGGTTTAGGGATGCGCGCTCTCACTAGTAGATGTAGTTGTACTAAAAGTATTAGAAGCAGTAGCTGTTGCAGTTGTAGTTGTAGTTGTAGTTGTAGTTGTAGCAGTAGCAGTGGCAGTAGCAGTAGCAGTTGCAGTTGTAGTTGTAGTTGTAGTTGTAGCAGTGGCAGTAGCAGTGGCAGTGGCAGTGGCAGTAGCAGTAGCAGTAGCAGTAGCAGTTGCAGTTGTAGTTGTAGTTGCAGTTGTAGTTGTAGTTGTAGTTGTAGTTGTAGTTGTAGTTGTAGTTGTAGTTGTAGCAGTGGCAGTAGCAGTGGCAGTAGCAGTGGCAGTAGCAGTGGCAGTGGCAGTAGCAGTAGCAGTAGCAGTAGCAGTAGCAGTGGCAATAGCAGTAGTTGTTCTTGCAATAGCAGCAGCAATAGCAGTAGCTGTTCTTGCAGCAGCAATAGCAGTAGCGGTAGCAGTAGCTGTTCTTGAGTAGCAGTAGCAGTAGCAGTAGCAGTAGCAACAGTGGCAGTAGCAGTGGCAGTAGCAGTGGCAGTAGCAGTGGCAGTGGCAGTAGCAGTAGCAGTAGCAGTTGCAGTTGTAGTTGTAGTTGTAGTTGTAGTTGTGGTAGCGGTAGCAGTAGCAGCAGCAGCAGTAGCAGTTCATGTTGCAGTAGCAGTAGCAGTAGCAGTTGCAGTAGCAGTAGCGATAGCAGTAGAAGTAGCACCAGCAGTAGCAGTCGCAGTAGCAGTGGCAATAGCAGTATTTGTTCTTGCAGTGGCAGCAGCAGTAGCGGTAGCAGTAGCTGTTCTTGAGTAGCAGTAGCAGTAGCAGTGGTAATAGCCGTAGCTGTTTTGCAGTAGCAGCAGCAGTAGCCGTTCTTGCAGCAGCAATAGCTGTAGCGGTAGCAGGAGCAGTAGCAGTAGCAGCAGCAGTAGCAGTAGCAGTAACAGTGCCAGTAGCGGTAGCAGTAGCAGTAGCAGTAGCAGTAGCAGTAGCAGTAGCAGTAGCAGTAGCAGTAGCAGTAACAGTAGCAGTAGCAGTAGCAGTGGCAGTAGCGGTCGCAGTCGCGGTAGCAGTAACAGTAGTAGTTGCAGTAGCAGTAGCAGTTGCAGTAGCAGTAGCAATAGCAGTAACTGTTCTTGCAGTAGCAGTAGCAGTAGCAGTAGCAGTAGCAGTAGCTGTAACAGTAGCAATAGCAGTAGCTGTTGTTGCAGTAGTAGTGCCGGTAGCAGTAGCAGTAGCAGTAGCAGTAACAGTAGCAGTAGCAGTAGCAGTAGCGGTAGCCGTGCCAGTAGCAGTAGCAGTAGCAGCAGCAGTGGCAGTAGCAGTGGCAGTAGCAATGGCAGTAGCAGTAGCTGTTCTTGCAGTAGCAGTGGCAGTAGCAGTAGCAGTTCTTAAAGTAGCAATTCTAGTAGCTTAGCAGTAGCAGTAGTAGTAACCGTAGCAGTGCATACATAAGTATACGTTCTAGCTGTAGCTGTGCTAATAGCAGTAACAGTTCTCGCGGTAGCAGTAGCAGTAGCAGTAGCAGTAGCAGTAGCAGTAGCAGTAGCAGTAGCAGTAGCAGT